AAGCGCCACAGTAGAGTCACATGATATCTTATAACGACGTAAATATTGTTTCAGTGATGTAATGTGCCGTCCATTGATAGTGGCATGCTATGTGCTCATGCTGTGTTAATCCGTACGATGACATGCATTACGCAAGTATTCCCTATGCAATGAATAGAAATGAAATCTGCTTCACGCCGGTAACTAAGCCGTGTAGCTCGTCATGTTTCAAGACTATATACCTTTTCGTTTAACAACGAGTTCCTTTTGACTCTTTGCCCCACAAATTTTTGCAGGCATTCCTAAAAAAAGGGTAAAATATGAGAAACACCCACATTAGTGCTTATATATCAGGTTGTATGAAGGGTGGATAGCGCTATCCTACGGATAAATCCTTATCCAGTGGATTATAAGTCGATGCTGTTATCCAATAAATTTATCCACTGGATAAGATTTGTCTGTCGGGAGGCCCAGGAGTAAACCGGCAGTATATGTTGCTCACGTTATTATAATATGCTTAGACATTAAGAGCACCAATATGCTCTCCACATTACTTTATAAAGTCATACGTTGTCTCTTGGTACTAACCACTGCCAGATGCCATCAATAAAACAACATTATATATGCACATAATATTCTCGAACATTATATTAGCTTATTCTTTCCCGTGATTCAAATGTACTTGATAATAACATCGGAAAATTCTAAAACGTATTATTTTATCACTCCATTTTGTTGCTAAAAAACCCTGAAAGTTCTATTTGGAAGTTAATTAAGAAAGCCTAATATTCCTTACCATAGGTCGTAGCTGTCACTAACACAGGACATCAAACCTGAAGGAAACTTTTGAAGGGAAAACGTATTAGTTAAAGGGGGACTTGGATAAAAATTGATGGAAATTGGAAATGACTTGAAACTTAGTTAAACTTATCTAATTATATGGCCCCAATAGTAGCCAAGCAGCATATTTTCTTCGCAGTAAAAAGTGGCGGATAAAAAGTATCAATATATATTATTCAGCGCACCCAAATTGTGAGTAAATGACGTCATCTAATCATTCCTTTTCACTTTTAAATCAAAATTCCTCAACTGCAAGTGACTCCCAGGCTAAAATATTTGTAATCTGGTTTTCATAATCATAATTGAATCATATAGTATCCTCAAATGCTTCAGTTATTCGGACTTTCAAAAATTGGGGCGTGGTTGTAATGTATCATAAGAAATGCAGAATGCTTTTTTAATTTGCTACCTATTTCAGGTGACCTGAGAAAAAATATTAGCCAATCAAAATCGAGAACATTTGAAATTGGAAATTTGAAACTGAGATTTTGTTTTTCCACTTGAAATAATGGATTTGCAAGCTACAAAATAATAAAAATAAGTGCTTTTAAATGGGACTAATGGCGCAATGAGTGTTATATTGTTATTCCAATGGCGGACATGTTTTTACTATTTGGCTGAACAATTTTCACAAACTTCACCACACCTCAGTTTTGCATTGACGTCATTTCACGTCACTATTTCAGATCTACTGGTTGTCGCTACCATTTCCTCTTAAAACAAAGTAACACTAAAAAAACATATTAACAATTTCTACAAATGTAAACTGCATTATTTTGATCAGTACCTTTTCCAGCATATTCCTGTATGCATCAACTTCACCCTCTTTTCCCCAGGTAGTAATTKTGCTACAATGAAAATTTAAGATAATATAGTTTAATTGATTTTAATAAGTGATTTGTGATCAGTTATTTATCATTTTATCACTGAAAGTCCCGCAAGCTATTTTTTCCCCCGTTGCACCATTTCCCTCGAGCCGTCGTAACCAGAATTGCACTTATTGAATCCGAGCTTGTAACGGAAAAAAATTAGCGAGCGAGACTTGGAGACTTGAAGACTTGGAGTTCTACCTGTGTTCTGCAGCAGGAATGGAGAAACCTGCCATTTCACATCCATAGTAWTTCCTAAAAAGATAAAAGAAAATCTATCAGCGCTCATGAACCATTGTGCATGTGCCAAATYGGCAGCAGTTTTTAAGGGAATAATTAGAGATCTTTAGCATCATGTTTACCGCTAACCGCTAGTAATCAGACCCAGACTGAACAGGCCCGCAAACACGGCAGCATAATGTTATTTATTATGRCGCCTTTTCTAGCGACCCGCAATATATCGTCGTTTAGTTCCCGTCTTGAATTGGGCATGTTTTTATCTTAAACTTGTGGGAGCCTTTGTTTGGACTCACTGCGCATGACATGGATGTTCAAACATCTATCAAAGTATTAAAGTTCATGTTCGCGATGTGTTTGGTCGCTCTAATCCAACCAAAAGTTTGTGAATTATGCCTAAGTTTTTGAAGAAGTTCAATAAGCTCGCCTACGCCTCGTGTATTTAAACCCGATATTTAAAATGACACTCTAGCTCGTTTATTAAACAGTACTTCGCAAAATCTATATCTATYGCATTTTTTAAAACATCCCCCCCTCCCCTTCGGCCTATTTGCCTCAAGATTTTCTTTAAAGTCGGCAGACGGAATTATAACCATCAATGTGCGGGATCCATCAAGAGAAGGCATTGACTTTGAAAAACCTATTATTTTTTATCATTATCATAATAAACTAAGATGATCAATGTGATTATTAGTATATCAATTAACTGTAAATCACTTAATGTTACCTTGCCATGACGATTCCTGTCACAGTATCTGTGCCACAAAAGTTTACAAGATGTGCAGCTCCACCAATTGACGCTGACTGTGAAATGAATGAAGCATCAGATTCCCATGCAAACATGCACTCACATTGGAAGCAATGAGAAAGTACTTTCAAATTATTGTWATTTATAAATCATAATATTTTTTTGTATTCAAACCTCAACAGAAGTGCTTCCTCTAAAGCCAAAATCATGGAGCTTGAAAGGAAGTCCATCCAAGGAGTCAGCAGTCTCACTAAGATACTATAATCATATTAAACACACTTTACTGAGGATTTAAAGCACACATGCAAACAAGCAATTGCAAATGAAGCCAACTTGAGTGGGTAAAAATCGAAATCAGTTGTCGTCTAATCATAGACAAATATATGACTTTATCTGGTCAGTAAGAAGGCGAAAAGGCAGTAGAAGTAACAAATGTCAGTACGTTTTGTTTTTCATGTACTGTATCAAAGTATGGTAGGTCCTTTTTTATTATACTACTAATGGTTACTTAATTTTGTCCTTTTACTACTCTTGTGGCTCTCTAAGGATCTTTAGCTATTTTATGCTGGTATAACAGACGAAATAAAAAGTTCTGCAATTTGATATTGAATAGTGTTTCAGTGCATTACTGAAATCAATACCTGTGCAATGATCTTTTTTTGTTCTCTTGAATTTGTAGCAACTGTGGTTGGATACCAAGTCTGAACTAAGACAGTCTGTTAGAAGACCAGATATGATGTATATATTTAATTATAATTATATATTTCATTTCGAATGCCCCGTCCACACGTATACGTTTTCTTTCGTAAACGCATACTTTTTTGATGTATTTAGCCCTTCCGTCCAACGATGTCCGTAAACGATGAAAACGCTCCCCGTACACTTTTGAACACGCCGTTTGTGCGTTTTCGTGTGGACGGCCTAAACGAATACTTTCAGTCCAGTCTCTCAAATTTATTATGTATCCATGGATGATGCAAGATGATTTCACATGAAAAATGGCGAAAAGTCGTGTGTTGGTTTGTTTGATGCTAGCGCTCCTTTCAAGCGGGATTGCAAGCATCCAATTCAATATTGCCTTTCTGAACATCCAGGCAAGTTATAACATAAGACAGTTTAACCTTACAAGATTGTAGTGCTTTACAACAACAACACTTGAACATTTCGCTTAAGAGTACAACCTACGCTCACTGACTTTTTTAGAACGGTGAATTTTATTTCAGCCAATCACAGCGCCTATCACAGGCTACTTTTTGCGTATTTTTTTGTTTTCTTTCCACTAAGCTTATTTCATATTTTTAGTCAAGTACAATGCCGTACCCACAGCCTTTATTTAGTACTGCGCATGCTCGACGAAGTAACAAAAAAAAAAAGAAGCTCTGGACACGAGATTCAGTAAATTACTAATATTATGCACATCGACAGTTTTGAATTATTACTCTACCTCAACCCAGCTTGTCAACCAGAAGCAGTTGGGATCAGTGTTTTGCACTGTGAAGAGAACTAAAAGAAAGAAAACCAATATCTAATTTGATAATCTTGGCTTGTATATTATACAGTTATCCAAGGGCGTAGGCAGGAGCCAAAAAGGGCAGCCTTCCCATTCCCCCCCATCCCTTCCCCTTCGTGCTTGTCTCTTTATTTTATTTTATTTTA